TCCCAATAAGGAAATAAGGGCAGATTTTTGTTTATTACACATGACAGCCATGAAGAATTGAAAAATTATGTTTCGGACGTGAGGCCTTGGCCCACTAATGCTCTTCTCATGTGGGGTGGGGTCCGCCAATGTGGCGCACCCGACAGAACGTCCTGTGAAAGGTCTTAGTAAATTCTCCCCCCTGAAATCCACAGCAGGCGAGAGTCCATCACACTTGCCTCTCAGTTCCCGAGGTTCGGCCTCTCCTTCTCAGAAACATCTCTCCCTGAAACATGCCCACATTTCTCTTGAGGTCAGGATTTGACATGCCCACCCGCCCATCTGAGCCGAGGAGAGATTGCAGAGCGCTTCTCTATGCACAAACATGGCAGTGGCTCACGCAGGTGCATTTCCCTCACTGTTTAATACAGCGGTGCCTCGCAAGACGAAATTAATTCGTTCCGCGAGTTTTTTCGTCTAGCAAATTTTTCGTCTTGCGAAGCACGAAATCCCATAGGAATGCATTGAAATCCAATTAATGCGTTCCTATGGTCAAAAAAAGTCCAAACAAAGCCAAATTTGGTACAACAAGAGTTTATTAAGTGCTCTTTAAAGTCACACATACTGTAAAGAGCATTTCAAAAACTGAAGGAACAATAAATTAAGTTTCTAAACATGACAGAAAAACATTTAAAAATCAACAAAGTGTACAGTACATTTTCTAAGATTCTGGAGGACAACTCGAAGAAGGTTCCTCTTCCACTCTTTGTTTCTTGCTGAAGAACCCCCTCCCCAACTACTCCCCCAGCCACCCACCACACAGAAATTCAAATCCAGAATTTTTTTAAAAAAAACAGCAGAGTGGCCCAATGGTCACAGAAAATCAGAAAAATGCAGAAAAAAAACACACAAGCTTCCAGATTCTTGCAAACCGCTCCCCAACACCAAGTCCTTGAATTCCAAACACCCCAACCCAAAATCCAACCCCCCAAAAAAAAGTTTTAAAAGTTTAAAAGAAGTTTTGGAAAAGCTTCAAAAATCACCAAAAACCTCAAAAAAGGCTACCACACCGCGTTCTATGAGTTGCTCCTCGAAGTCAAGTCGCAACTGTATTAACGGTGTTAAGAAAAAGGAAACAAACTTGCAAGACGTTTTCGTTTTTCGTCTTGCGAAGCAAGCCCATAGGGAAATTTCGTCTTGCGAAGCAGCTCAAAAAATGGAAAACCCTTTCGTCTAGCGAGTTTTCTGTCTTGCGAGGCATTCGTCTTGCGGGGCACCACTGTATGGGCATGGGGCGCACCCACATCCTTTTGTGGCCCTCTTTTTTGCATTTTTAGATGGGGTGGCCATTTTGTGACATGCAGCGGCCCCCTCCCCAAATGGCAGCCATTTTGCCACTTTCTCAAAATTCCAAATGCTCCCACTGGCCCCCCAAATTGGGAAGGGCTGCTCCTCCCTTGCAGTAAATTTGGAAGGGCACGAGAGTGAAAAAGTCCACTAAAAGCAGGATTGTTGGCGCTGGGAAAGAGCAGTGTGAGGGAAAGCGAAGAGATCTAGCAAAGAAGGAAATGGGGGGCGGGGAGAGAGAAAAGGAGACGCTTAAAAGCTTGAAAGAAACTGCCACAGCCATCTGACATAATGGCTTAACCAACATAGTTGACCTGGGAAGCAATAAATTTGTCTGCCCCAGTAGCCAGTCACTGTTTCCCAGCCTGGCCTACCTCGCACGGTCGTTGTGGGCCAGCTGATAATTTAATTTATGCTAATATTGTTCAATTATGGGTTAGGTTCCTTCAATTTATGAAGTAATGATGCACTTTTATGCTCCGCAAATCTCGAGTGATGGCTGCCCAGCTCTCCTCACACCCCGTAGCAAACCACTATTGCATCTGGCGTCCCAAAAGACAGCTAAATAGCCTTCGGGCGCCAGGTTTAACAGCCCACCTCTTTATGGAGGCTGGAGGAGGCTATTTAACCTTGTTATTTCTGTCTCTGGTCCTGATCTGGATTGTTTCCTGCTTCTCTTTGCTTTCCACCGCTGCTGATTTGATTATAGGGTGCTGATTTGATTGCTCTCCCTCTTCTGATGGGTTGGTGCTTTGGCTCCTTGTAGTGAGCCGCACCTGTTGAATTCCAGCCTGTCGGGTGGCTATTGAAAAACGACGGAGAAATAACAATTTTGGCGATATGGATTGCTGCGCCTTGATTTTGTTTTCCTTGTGCCGGGGTGAGTGGGGTTGTGCTTGTTCTGAAATAGAATTTGGGGTGCAGGGAGACGGAACAATTTGCTGCATCCAAATAACTGCATCCGAAGTCACTTGTTTCAAATAGCAGAAGACATCTGAAGGCAGCCCTGTTTAGGGAAGCTTTTAATGTTTAATAGATTATTGTATTTTAATATTCTGTTGGAAGCCGCCCAGAGTGGCTTGGGAAGCCCAGCCAGATGGGCGGGGTATAACAAAATTATTATTATTATTATTATTATTATTAGTAGTAGTAGTAGTAGTATTGCAGGATGAGTTGGGAAAGTGAGGGGCTGGTCTGCACGTACGTAGCTCCCTGTGGGCTGGGGGGCTTCTCCTTGATCTGGCATGCCACCCCTTTCTGTGCTGCAAGAGGAGAAAGTAGGGCTGCCCCCCTAAGTGCTGACGGGGTCTCCGCTCTCCAAAGTGGGTCAGTATTCTGCTCTATGGAGCCAGCCACTCGCTCCCGGGATTGGAGTCGTAATCTTGTTTGTGCTGCCCAGTTAATCCTCTGGCAGTTCCAAGCTCTGAATTGATGGCGCGGGAAGAAAAGTGGCGACCAGAGGGGATTAGGGTGCGGGGGAATTCAGGAGCCTAGTGAGCAAAGGTGAAGACTGTGATATCCGATCTATCCAGGAGTTACGGCAACGGAGCAGGTTATTCTCGGCCAAGGCTCGGATGACCCAGTGAGGCGGGGAGAACACAGGCTCTGAAATGAACTGAGTGAAGTGAGCGACTCAGCAGTGGGGAGCCTGAAAGTCCCCTTTGGGCATGGGCTTTCTGGGTAGCCCTACACTGGCAAAAAAATGTGGGGATAATAAGCACACTGGCACATAATAATAATAAATTTTATTTATACCCCACCCTCCCCAGCCAAGACCAGGCTCAGGGCGGCTAACACCAGGTATAAAACAATGCATTAAAATACAACTTAAAAACAAGATTAAAATACAATATTAAAATGCAGCCTCATTTCAGTAGAAACTCAAATCGAAAACTTTTGGGGGATGAAAATGTCAAATCTTCACCAAGGCCGACTATCCAGACTGGTTCTACGTGGGCCAGAAAAAAGCCAGGGAAGTCCCCAAATAGGAGTTCCATCACAGAAGGAGAAAGGAAAGAGGGGAAGGGGATCAAGTTGATTCCAAGCCAAAGGCCAGGCGGAACAACTCTGTCTTACAGGCCCTGTGGAAAGAAATCAGATCCTGCAGGGCCCTGGTCTCATGAGATAGAGCGTTCCACCAGGTCGGAGCCAGTGTTGTTCAATTATGGGTTAAGTTCCTACAATTTATGATGCGCTTTTATGCTCCTCAGATCTCGAGTGATGGCTGCCCATCTCTCCTCATGGCCCGTAGCAAAAAGCCCTGGTTCTGGTTGAGGCTAATCTGACTTCTTTAGGGCCCGGGACCTCTAGGGTGTTGCTATTTATGGACCTTAAGGTCCTCCACGGGGCATACCGGGAGAGGCGGTCCCGTAGGACAGAGGGGAAACTGTGATCCCATACCTTTGCTGCCTTATGGGAATTCTTTGGGAGAAGAAAAGGCTTGGGAGCAAACCCTGCACAAATCCGGAGGGGAGTCCCTAAGGCAGTTGGATGGTGCCTTGCATTCCTCCTTCAGGCAATGGATGCTACCTGGAAGGACCTGGTTAACAAGCAATGAAACAGCATACTGGAATAAAAGGAGCCGCTCTGGTTTGACCCAGTGGAGCCCGGACATTCTTATTAGAGGCAGCGTGGTGTAGTGGTTAATGTTGGGCTAGGACCTAGGAGGCCAGGGTTCGAATCCCCACTCAGGCATGAAGCTCACCGGGTGACCTTGGGCCAGTCAGAGTGTCTCAGCCTAACCTACCCGACAGGGTTGTTGTAGGGATTCATCGAGGAGAAGGGAGAACCACGTACATCGTCTTGAACTCCTTGGAAGAAAAGGTGTCATTATATAGCGAATGAAATAAAATAAATGCATTTTGGGAAGCGTTATGGAGGTAGTGTCCTGGAGAGCTCTTTAGGAGGCTGGTGTTTTTGTCACCATTATCGAGCTCGCAAGTGGTCACCTTCTAGGGAGGAGCTGGAATTTGCTTGCAGGCAAATCAGCCTTGCAAACGAGTCTCCAAAAACCGCAAGCCCAAACGCATGCGTGAGTACACACACACAATGTTTATAAGCCTTGCCATCGATACGCAAGAGCTAGTCAACGCTTCTGTGTGTATGTGTGGATTTTCAGCTTCTGCTGATTTGTGTGCTTTGGTCTCGATAAAATTTTCGGGAGCACCCTGTTGCCCTTTAAGTTGGGAGAAGTTATTTTTGGAGGTCTGCAACTAGTGCATGGGGGGACCAACTTGTGGGACCCTCCAGATTGGCCTTTCTCAACCTGTGGGTCCCCAGATATTGTTGAACTACAACTCCCATCACCCCTAGCTAGCAAGGCCAGAACTCAGGGATGATGGGAGCTGTAGTCCAACAACATCTGGGGACCCACAGGTTGAAAACCGCTGCTCCAGATGCTTCCATCAGCCACAGTCAACATGGCCAGTTGTTAGGGAGAATTATGAGTCCAGCAACATCTGGAGTACCGCAGAAGGGCCACCCTTGAACCCCTAGCTGCCTTTGGGGTGTATGCAGGAAACTGAAAATAGAAACTGCTGAGGGCGAAGGTTGGACCTGGGCTACAGGGGTTTGCGGAATGTGAAGAGGGTGGGTTGAGAGTACCCTGTTGATTGAGAGAGGCTATTTCCCTCTGGAACCCTGTTTTTAATGATTTTTTCTCTTTTTCCACGCAGGAACATCTTCCCCTCCAACTTGGTGTCAGCTGCATTCCGATCGGTGAGTTGCTTAACTCCTCCCAACCTCCCCCTCCCCACAATTCCCCCCCTCCCATTGAACCCAAGGCAGGCAGTGCTGGATTTTGCGCCAAACACTACATCGCACGAAGCAAAGCATTTGGGTACTTGTGATCCCAGAAGGGGCTTTCACAATTGATTGATTAGCGTTTTCTAACAAAGCTTGACCATTTGCATTGTGGGCTCTTAAGAGGGACCCGCTGGATGGGGCCAGTCGCCCATCTAGGCCCGCATCCTGTTCTCAGCGGCCAACCAGATGACTGGAAACAGGATTCAAGCACCAGAACGCTCTTCCGTCTGGTGGTTTCCTGTGACTGGTATTCAGAAGCTCTGGAGGCAGAGTCTAGCCATGGCTAGTAGCCCTCCATTAATTTGCCAAATCTTCTTCTAGAGTCATCCCGCTTGGTGGCCCTCACTGACTCCGTGATGACCAACCTAGATAGCTTAATTTGTCTAATCCTCTTCTAAAGCCATATAGAGAGCCCTTTCAGGAGTTGTGATTCTCCAGAAAAGGGAGTGGGAGGCTAAGAAAACCGGGGAGCAGTTGCTTCTTTCCAGAGTGGAGGAAGCTAGAACAGGCAACTGCTTCGGTTACAAAACAGACCGTGCTGCTCAGTTGCCAGGATACACAATCACTTTGGGACACAAAGCGTACCTTTGCTTTGGAAACCTGAAATAATTTCCACAGGGAGAAGTGCAACGTGCTGGCCAGATCTCAAAGGAACCATTCCCAGCATTCAGTACAATATGGCATTGCTACAGAGCTATAAAACTCCTTAACCAAACCTTTCCCAACCTGCGGACAGACCTAGCCAACGCGGCTGGTTGATGAACCAATACTGCTTTCTGTTGCAAGCAGCTGTCCAGGAAATGTGGGGTTAATGTTTGGAAGAGGCACCTGGCTGGCTGTGGGGAACAGTATCCTTGACTAGATGGACCTTCTCATCTCATCCCGCTGGACTCTTCTTGCATTCTTATGATTTCCATGTAAACACCTTGCCCTGACTGCTACTGCTACTGCTACTACTACTACTACTAATAATAAATAACAATAGGAATAATTTTATTATTTATACCCCACCCATCTGACTGGGTTGCCCTAGCTGCTCTGGGCGGCTTCCAACAGATATAAAAACATTGTAAAACATCAAACATTAAAAACTTCCCTGTACAGCTTCAGATGTCTTCTAAAAGTTGTGTAGTTCTTATCTCCTTGACATCCAATAGGAGGGTGACTCTTGGGGAGGGTGCCACTACCGAGAAGGCCCTCTGCCTGGTTCCCTGTAACTTCACTTCTCACAGTGAGGGAGCCACCATAAGGCCCTCGGAGCTGGACCTCTGTGTCCGGGTTGAACGATGGAGATGCTCTTTCAGGTATAATGGGCCTATGAGTCCGTATAGGGCTTTAAAGATCAGCACCAACACCTTGAATTGTGCTCAGAAACTTACTGGGAGCCAATGTAGATCCTTTAGGACTGGCATTGAATGGTCCCAGCAGCTTTTCCCGTTCACTAGTCTGGCAGCCGCGCTCCAGATTAGTTGTAGTTTCTGGGTCACCTTCAAAGTCCCACACAGAGCGTAAGGCAGTAGTCTAAGCAGGAGCTAACCAGTGCATGGACCACTCTGGTGAGACAGTCTGCAGGCAGGAGGACATTGATTTTCAAATCTGGGTTTGCAATGAGTGCCTAATTCCCGAGACTGCAAATGCGTTTTGAGCAGGGAACATGAACGGGGAGAGAGAACATCAGAACATCAGTCGTGAGTCTGGAGAGACTCCGGTTCAGATCCCCTCCAGCCACAAATCTCACTGTGTGACCTTGGGCTAGTCGCTTTGTTGCTGTTGTTGTTGTTATTCAGTCGTTTAGTCGTGTCCGACTCTTCATGACCCCATGGACCAGAGCACGCCAGGCACTTCTGTCTTCCCCTGCCTCCCGCAGTTTGGTCAAACTCATGCTGGTAGTTTCAAGAACACTGTCCAACCATCTTGTCCTCTGTCGTCCCCTTCTCCTGGTGTCCTCCATCTTTCCCAACATCAGGGTCTTTTCCAGGGAGTCTTCTCTTCTCATGAGGTGGCCAAAGTATTGGAGCCTCAGCTTCACGATCTGTCCTAGTCGCTACCTCCTGGCTTAGCCTTCCTCCCAATGATGCTTTTAACAACACCAGTAGAGCCCCACAGCTGCATCAGCCTAAAAGCCCACCTCTGGTCCAGCCCCCTGTTCTCAGTGGCCAGGGAGATGCCTCTAGGAAGCCTGCAAGCAGGTTATGCGTTTCGAGCTGCATTGGAGAATTGGTATGTCTGGCAGGAGGTCTCTGGGGTCCCTCCCAGACTTGTAAATCAATATGCCTCTGGCTCCTCTGCTTGTTGCTTTGAAGACACTGACCGAGAAGCTACGAGTTTCCCTAGCTGCAGTGAGCAGCTCCTTGCTACTTACTCTCACTTGCTACTGTCTTAGCAATGTGCTAATTAAACGTCTTCCTTTCCACCAGAGGCTTAAAAAAAGAGAGAGGCCTTTTGTGTGTGGTTACAAAACAATACCCTACATTAATGTTCCCCTGCTTTTTATTGACTGTTCTTTGTGATGCATTAATCCTCTTTAGGACGCAGGCAGGGTATGGGCAGCGAAGCCAGCTTGGCTTAATTTTTAATAGCCTTGTTAAAGGAACAAAGGTGGATTCCCAGGTCAGATCGCAGGGGACAGATCCAGGCAGCACATGCGGAAGGACGGCTTCTGCCTGCATCTCCCACCCATTCAGCTTGGAACTCTTGGCACATCCCTGTACGGTCTGCTTACCCACGGCTGAATGTCTAGTGGATGAATAATCTGAATTCTTAACAGATAAATTGATCGGTTAATCTTCCCACTTGTCAAAAAACTCCATACTAGTGTCTTTTTTAGATAATTGGCCAGTTCATCTCCTTTATCCAAGTGGCCTCGGTATGGTTCAATGAGAAGCCCCCTTTAAGAAATCATTTCCAAACTCCCTAGGACAGTAACGCTCCCAGAACCATTGTCTCCAAGTAAAGGTAAAGGGGCCCCTGACCATTAGGTCCAGTTGTGACCGACTCTGGGGTTGCGGCGCTCATCTCACTTTATTGGCCGAGGGAGCCGGTGTACAGCTCCCGGGTCATGTGGCCAGCATGACTAAGCCGCTTCTGGCAAACCAGAGCAGCGCACGGAAACGCCGTTTACCTTTCCGCTGGAGCGGTACCTATTTATCTACTTGCACTTTGACATGCTTTCGAACTGCTAGGTTGGCAGGAGCAGGGATCGAGCAACGGGAGCTCACCCCGTCGCGGGGATTCAAACCGCCAACCTTCTGATCAGCAAGTCCTAGGCTCTGTGGTTTAACTCACAGCGCCACCTGCGTCCCATTGTCTCCAAAGGGTGCCCTTAATATCTCGGCTCCACTGAGCAATTAATCAACACGCACTGTTGGTTGATTTACCAAGCAAAGCTTGCCACCGAACCATCATCTTGCCAGTTGGATTGGGATTGCGGTGGGATATATTGATAATCTGTTCTTCCCCAGCCGCAGGGGAGCGAGCAGGGTTTGCACCTTCTGAAAGGGAAGGTGGATGAACTTAACAGCCTGAGGTTTTCCTGTCTGTGTTGGAAGCATCCACAGAACCCCATGCAAGTACGAAGTGAATTTATTTTCAGCCACAGCTGACATTGTCCTTCCCTCTTTGTGTTTCTCCCCAGTACGCAACCAGTTATAAACTGGTGATAGAGAAGAAGAACAGTACAGGACTCAGCGAGAATATCACGTTTGGTGAAAACGCCACAGTTGGTGAAAGCATCATAGAGACTAAGGTAAGAGGAATGGGATGCACTTGGAACATATATATTTGGATGTGTTGCCTGTCAGGAAAAAGCAGCAATGTGAAAGCCAGCTGCAGGTGTCTGGAATGCAAAACAGGATGTTGATGTGTGGGACTGTACTATTGGGAAAAAGGGGCAGTCTATTCACTGCACTGAGCACCGGATGTTAGCTCAGAGTGTCATCTGACCTGTACTGGAAGTACAGGGGTGGAGTTTAGACTCTACTGCTGGAGTCTGGAGAGTGCAGACGCGTTTCTCTGTACTGCTGGAATGACAGGAATAAAGACATGTAAATAGACTCCTGTCTGTCTCTTTCCCCTCCCTGGGGAGGAGGGAGGATGGTGTGTTCTTCTCACGTTTGAGGAGGATCGCTGATTTGTGACCTTGCCTGTATCCTGCGGGGAGACGCAGACGGGAAGGTCAACAAGGATCTCAAGCCGAATGTCTGGAGTGAGGCCAGTTACCTCTGACTGCGGCTAAGAATTCCGACATTGCCTTGGAAAAGAAACCTGAAGCATGTTGGGCTCATTTTCAAGCACCATCCTTGGCAAACAGCTCCCAGAATCCTTTGGGGGGAAACCGTGACAGTTTAAAGTGGTATCATTTCAAAGTATGGTATGAATGGGGCCATGCTGTTCCACTTGTTCCTATTTACCTGTGGCTCACGAAAGTTAGCGATGAACACTGGCTTGCTTTCGTTTCCACTGTGCCTTTAGCAGGTGACACCCCTGCTTGTCTGAACTGCGCAAGAATTTCCCACACAGGCCGTTTTATGGGTCTCCTCTTTGCTATTGGCCATGGGGCCAGCCACAAAGGCCTGTCCCCTCATTGCCACTGGGTCTCTCGGCTGCCACTGGGCCTCTTCTGGCTTGATGACTTAAGTGCTGCCGGGTTCTCTGAGGAGAAGTATGGATGTCCTTTAGCTCAGCTGTTTGAAGAAGGGGAGTCAGGGCTGCGTTGAGTAGGGGGGACCATTTGATTCTTTTAGCTGCGGATATGCCAAGATTTGCATTAGGGATATATTGCGGTTTTATGATAGAATTGTTGGGGAGCAGACCTGCAAAAGCCAGAGTTAAGGGTAAGTGGTCGCTTTCAGTGTTATAGCCCACTTGGAACTCCGTGACAAATCTTGAGATTAGGATATAATCTATGACACTACCGCCATAGTTTGTGAAGTGGGTGTATTCCCCAGGGCAATCTCCCTCTATATTGTCGTTTAATATCAGCAGGCCCCTCCGCTTTGTGGCCTGGGCTAAGCAAAGCGCTGGGTAGTTGCATCTAAGATCTTTAGAAAGGCGGGCAGTGCCTGTATCTAAATGGATGTCAGAGTCCAGAAACTGGTTGTAGTCGGTGTATAAGCTGTCATCATTAGCACCCATGCGTATGTTGAAATCTCCACCAATAATGGAGCGGAGCAGAGCAGAGCAGCAGGATGGATGGATTTGAGAGAGACTATATAGGACTCTAAATCTGCCCAGGCAGCCTTAATTGTAGATTTTTTTCTGGCAAGGAGGTATATAGACGTTGACCAGCAATAAAGAGGCTCTCCCTCTTCCGGGAGAAGTATTCCCTTTCTGAAAAGCACTTGCTGGGCCTTGTTTTCCTGTGGCCCAGGGAGTTGTCGTGGAAGGATACAGAAGAGGCACTCCCTGTGGGTGAGGTGGCAGCTGGTGCTGTTGCGCCTCAATCGGTGGTGCCACAGATAGAGAAAAGGGTGGCAGGAGCAGTTTGGGGGGGGGTAACAGTTGCTGCTCTCCCCCAGTTGTTGCTGACTTGGTGTCAGGGACTGGACTGAGGAGGAATTGTGGAGACCGGCCTCTCCCTCCTGCTGCAATTCTCAGAGAAGAGGGAGACAGTATAGATTTAGAACAGTGGTTTGCAGAAGGTCACAGATCAGAGGCTGCAGAGGGGAGAAGCTGGAAAATACTGGGAGAGGAGCAGGAGGAAGAAGCAGCAGCAGGGGAAATTCAGCTAACAGACTCAGTGTCTTTGGAAAGCATGCCAGACTGGCGGGCATTGAGAGTAGGAGAGCAGAAAGCTCAGAGGCAGAAAGCACAGATTAGCCGATGTAGGAATGGTGTATAACAGGAGAGACACGGAGGGGGTGGGAATTTATTCGCAGCAACGCCACTGTCCAAGAGGCGACATCTCTACATCTCTCTCTCTGAATATTGAATAAAATACTTTGGTAAGAACATCTTGTTTTCCCATTTCTGCAAACCTTCCCCCAACCGCTGCATGTTTAGGACAAAGGGCAAATTATTTGCTTGCTTATAATCTCAAGGATATGGCTGTTGTGTGCAGATGTCTGCCTTGAGGGCAGGGAAACCCTCGACCGCTTTTCAAATCCCTGGCTGTTTTTGTGACGGAAGCCTTTCCTCCCTCTTGCCATCCCCTTAGATCCCCACAGGCACAGAGGTGGAAGGGATGAACATCCTGGGCCTGGTTGTCTTCGCCATCGTCTTTGGGATTGCTCTGCGGAAGCTCGGGCCGGAAGGCGAGAACCTGATCAAGTTCTTCAACTCCTTCAACGAAGCCACGATGGTGCTCGTCTCCTGGATCATGTGGTAAGGAGGCCGCCCGGTCCACATTTCCCCAGGAGTCTCATAGGGGAACAGTGCAGGTGGAGATAAAATGTTAACAGAGAAGAGTTGGTTTCAAGGCCTTTGGGCTGGGTTTTGTGCATTCCTGTGAAGTTCTCTGCCAAACTGATGTAGCAAAAGCTGATTTCTGATACAGTGGTACCTCGGGTTAAGAACTTAATTCGTTCTGGAGGTCTGTTCTTAACCTGAAACTGTTCTTAACCTGATCGCCGCCACAGGATTTATGTTCTCATCCTGAAGCAAAGTTCTTAAACCAAGGTACTATTTCTGGGTTAGTGGAGTCTGTAACCTGAAGCATCTGTAACCTGAGGTATCACTGTATATGTGTGGTGCAATCACATCTTACGCAGAAGTTTGTTTCTAAGGGTTCCACGTATACATGAAAATCACATCTACCCAAAGCCTTGGAGCCACCCCACAGCTAGCTGGGGGGGGGGAGAGAAAAAGAAGCCCCAGTATCCCCAGAGTCTGCACGTCAAGCAGGCTTTGCCCTCCAGGCAAGACGGACTGTTAAAAAACTCTTTTTAAACCTGGAAACCCCAAACAAACCTGGCACAAAAAGGATTTTCAAGCCCTCCGCTTCGCTTGAATTTAACTTGCAAAATTTCAGCCTTCAGTTGCAAATGGTTGAAATCTCATGAGTTAAACGCTTGTAAGATGCAATTGTACTGTACAGCCATACCTTGGAAGTCGAACAGGATCCGTTCCGGAAGTCCATTCCACTTCCAAAACGTTCGAAAACCAAAGTGCGGCTTCTGATTGGCTGCAGGGATCTCCTATAGCCAATCAGAAGCTGTGGAAGCCCTGTTGGATATTCAGCTTCCAAAAATAGTTTGCAAACTGGAACAGTCACTTCCAGGTTTGCGACGTTCGGGAGCCGAAATGTTTGGGAGCTTAGCAGTTTGAAAACCAAGGTACGACTGTGTATATGTTATGCACACTAAGGAAATTAGAAAGATGCATCAGTTATTCTGTATTTGCTAGTGGCAGTGCAGGGAGAGGCATTGAAGTCCTGCCTCATGACTCCTAGAACTTCTCCAGCTTCTGAAATTTCACCAGGTGTTGCTCATGGCCATAAAGACCACTTGGCAAGTGTTGTAGCTGCGTGGAGATTTTCTTATTTTTCTGTCTTGCCTGCTGTTCTGCATCACATTCACCCGGTGCTATACCAGCTGCACTGGCTCCCGGTGGAGTACAGGATCATGTTTAAGGTGCTGGTTTTAACCTTTAAAGCCCTATACGGCCTAGGACCCTCATACCTACGGGATCGCCTCTCCTGGTATGTCCCACGGAGGACCTTACGGTCTTCAAACAAAAACATCTTGGAGGTCCCGGGCCACAGGGAGGTTAGGCTGGCCTCAACTAGAGCCAGGGCTTTTTCGGCTGTGGCCCCGATCTGGTGGAACACTCTGTCACAAGAGACTAGGGCCCTGCGGGACTTGACATTTTTCCGCAGGGCCTGCAAGACAGAGCTGTTCCACCAGGCCTTTGGCCAGGGCACAGCCTGACCCTCTCCTTCGGTAATCCTCACAGAACTCTAGCCCAATGGTTGCCATTGATTTTATTTGAACTGATTTTATAATGAACTGATTTTAGAATGTTGTATTATTTTACTGTTGTTAGCCGCTCTGAGCCTGGCTTCGGCTGGGGAGGGTGGGATATAAGTACAAATTTATTATCATCATCATCATCATCATCGGTCTCGGTGTTGTTCTTGCTGATCCTCCTCTCTCTCTCCTTCCAGGTATGCCCCCCTGGGTATCATGTTCCTGGTAGCTGGCAAGATTGTGGAAATGGAGGACGTGGTTGTCCTGTTCACCAGCCTGGGCAAGTACATCTGCTGCTGCCTGGTGGGCCATGCCATCCACGGCCTCATCGTCCTGCCAGCCATCTACTTCCTCTTCACCCGCAAGAATCCTTACCGGTTCCTTTGGGGCATCTTCACTGCCCTGGCCACCGCCTTCGGCACTTCCTCCAGGTATTTATGAGCTGGTTGTGGCTCCAGAAAGCCAGGAGAATGGGGTGCGGGTTTAAAAGGACACCTGTTGCATAGCCAAAGGGGGGGGGATTTGCTTGGAGTGAATGGTACTCAAATGCCAGGCAGGGAGGTCGGCTGAATCTCTGCTTCCTTCCCACCTTCCCCCCCATTAAATCCTTATTGAAATTCATAGATATCATACAGTATCTTCAACCCACATATACAAAGGAAAAAAATAACCTTACATAAATTTACTCTTTCCATTTTCTAACTAAAGTCAAATAAAATAAACCCCATTATTTCCCAATGTAATTGACGTTTGTAATATTGAATGTACTTATAATTCCCACCTTACTCTTAATATATTTTCTAATACTTTCTTACAATATGTTATACCATTTTTCCGTATTTCTTAATATTTACTTTACACAAGGGTCATTCGAACGCTGCCATAGATCACTGTATCACTGTTACATTATTGTAAATATCTCTTGAACATATCCCATTTTTGAATAAATGGTTGTTTTGTATTACCCCTTAGTTTATTTGTCAATAGAGCCATTTCTGCGTAATCCAGTAATTTGTTCTGCCTTTCCCTTAATGTTGGTACTTTCCCCCCTTTCCAGTTTGATGCAATTAGTAATCGGGCGGCGGCTGTTCCGTATAAGAAGATTTCTCTTATATTTTTGGGGATATCTCTACCTAAACAACGTCAGGAAACAGTTTCAGCAATAATAATAAAAAAGCAAAGGCGTATAAAGTCTGTGTGAACCCTACCCTGGAAAGCTCATGGGCACAGAATTAACGGAGGTGGGTGGGTGGGAGCTCTCTTGAAGGCAAGGAACTGTGCAGCTTGGGTGCCACCACTGAGAAGGCTCGCCTTTGCATGTGGACGGAGGCAGCCCTTAAGGGGTCCTACAACGTGATTTATTCCATGTTGGAACCGGTGGGAGTTGTGCTGTGCCTGTGGGCTGTTTCAGGAGCACTCTCTCTCTGCCCACGTTCTCAACCCGCCTCTTCCTCCTGGCAGCTCTGCCACCCTGCCCCTGATGATGAAGTGTGTCGAGGAGAAGAACGGCGTCTCGAAGCACATCAGCCGCTTCATCTTGCCCATTGGGGCCACGGTCAACATGGACGGGGCTGCCCTCTTCCAGTGCGTGGCTGCTGTCTTCATCGCCCAGCTCAACAACAAGCCTCTCAACTTCATCCAAGTCATCACCATCCTGTGAGTATTCTGACCAGTCTCCCTTCGGGCTCAAATGGTGGTCCTTAGAAGCCCACGCACCTTGCACAACCTGTTCCCTCCCCTTTCCCCAAACAGACAAAGCCCACCACCCATTGACTGTGGCCCACCTTGCCAAGCTGCTGGCAGGCTGCCTTCGCTGTATGTGCTTAATAATAATAATAATAATAATAATAATAATAATTTATTATTTGTACCCCGCCCATCTGGCTGGGTTTCCCCAGCCACTCTGGGTGGCTTCCACAAAGACCAAAAATACACTAAAATATCACACATTAAAAACTTCCCTGAACATGGCTGCCTTAAGATGTCTTCTGAATGTCAGTTGTTTATCTCTTTGACATCTGAAGGGAGGGTGTTCCACAGGGTGGGCGCCACTACCGAGAAGGCCCTCTGCCTGGTTCCCTGTAGCTTTGCTTCTCGCAATGAGGGAACCGCCAGAAGGCCCTCGGAGCTGGACCTCAGCGTCCGGGCAGAACGATGGGGGTGGAGATGCTTCTTCAGGTATACAGGACCAAGGCTATTTAGGGCTTTAAAGGTCAACACCAACACTTTGAACTGTGCTCGGAAACGTACCAGGAGCCAATGTAGGTCTTTCAAGACCGGTGTTATGTGGTCTTGGCGGCAGCTCCCAGTCACCAGTCTAGCTGCCACATTCGGGATTAGTTGTAGTTTCCGGGTCACCTTCAAAGGTAGCCCCACGTAGAGCGCATTGCAGTAGTCCAAGCGGGAGATAACTAGAGCATGCACCACTCTGGCAAGACAGTCCGCTTTTTTCGTTCTTCCTCTCACTGTTCGCTGTGGGGTTGCTCAAACACCCACATTCTCTTAAGACTTTTCTGCAAAACCAGCCCATTTGATCTGCACCAGATGGGCCTTCCATTCCTTGGGCGCATTGGGTGAGGAAGAGAGACTAGACAAGCCACAAGCAAACAGCAAGCACATTTAAGTTGTTGAGCCTGAGCATCAGGGCAAATATTCCTCTACATCAGCACGGTTTAATATTGTGGAATTTTGAAAGGTGGATGGCGGGTGGCTGGTAGCCCCTGCCACATCCTGGGAATTAAGGGGAAGCAAGAGGGCAGGTTGAAGAAAACAAAGAGGAGATTTCCTTTCCCGAAATGATGGTTCCCGCACAAATTTCTCCCAGTGATTTCCTGTCCTAGAGCTGCAGGAAGTGAGCTTTGGGAGCGAGGAAGTGGGTTTGTCTCCAGCCCATTCAGATAACCAGCTCCCAAAATTTCAACTTCCTGCTGGTGAAGTGGGTGGTGATAATCCACACAGGTTCTAAGACCCCTCTGCCCTTTCCTTCCCGGTAGAATGAGAGTGTGAGTCTGCCAGAGGGCACGTGCTACCTTGATGCTTTAGTGCAGGGGTCGGCAACCTAAGGCCCATGGGCCACAAGCTGCCCACGGGGGTCGTTTAACTGGCCCACGAGCCGCCTGCTTGGCGAGTCCTCGCGTGCTGCGCTAAACCAGCACAGCATGGCATGGGGACTCGCTTCTGCAGCACCGGAAATCGCAGGCGCGATCTGGCCCACAGAGGGATCTCTGCTGGAGTGAACTGGCCCAGGCGTGGTAAACCTTTATATCCTTTAGTGGGATATAAAGTCAGCTGCAGAAAAAGGGATCATGAGGCCGCTGCAGAAACAAAGGGGGGATTTATGCTGGGAGGTAGCCTTGGGCCACCCAGAATGGATGGACTGGGGGTTTGGGAAGATGAAACCTTAAAAAAAAATTGTGGCAGGAACAACCAGAGTTTGGTGTGCACTGAAGTGACCGGCTGGGCAGACCAGTGTAGCTGAGCATTTGACAGGCACTTGACTTGACAGGCTGCCTCTGTAAAGCTCTCTGGGTCGATCTTAAGGACTAGGAACCTGGACGAAAATTGAGGCCATTCAGCATATAGTGGGTTGGTTCTGCACCCAGTACCAAATTCTGATCTTGTTCAGGACTTGATGCAGCAAACACAGAAACTCTTTTCTAGTCTCTAGGGTTTTATTTGCCTGGCCAAACACTAGACACCTGCCGCTTCTCCAAGCTCCTCTAATCTTTAAGCCTTCTGCTGTTTCTGCCACGTCAATACCCAATTCCTACAATGATGATGATCAGCTGGACTAAATTGTCGAGCACCAGCACAAATGCTCCTCTACATCAATACTGTTTAATAGTGCAGAATTTTGAGGGGTGAATAGCTGGTGGTTTGTGGAGCTGTACATCTCTAGCTTCACCCCTAAATATCTCACACACACTCTATACACTGCTTGATTTTAATAATAATAAAAAAACACACAGTTTACAAAAGATTAAACAGCAAAACCTAGAAAAATGTACAACCCTGCTTTGAAACTTCCAAATACATCTTTAAATTCATTCAGGTAGCATCTAGAGAAGGGTCCCGCAGCTAGTGTAGCGTCCTGAGCCATTGCCACTTTTGTCAGTGAGAAAGTTCTAGTCCTCATGACTAAAAGAGATGCACTCAGCAAGGCTGCTTGAGCTTCTGCTTGGATTTGCCACTCAAGCCCTTCTCCTGCTGCGCTTCTCATCCTCTTCCTGCCCCTATCAGAATGCTAACTCTTCTTAAAAACTCCTCTATCTAGGTTGGAATAAAATATAGGGGTCAGCAGTTAGATTGACCAAGGAAAGGCTAGAGACTTTGCTTGGCACAAGATTCTGCTTTTTTAGCAGAAGTGTCGAGGGCAGAAAACATTTGCAGACTGTTTTTTTGGGTGCATTTTTTTAAAAAAGCAATTGCAAGTAAAATATTGTTTTCTCCAGTTCAGGAGGTGGACCTGTCCCTCCTGGCCTCGAGGTGCTTAATCATCAACTGTGTCTGAGGCCCTTTGTTGCAGCATAGGGCAGTAAGAAAACTGCAGGCTTAGGCAGAACTTGCGACCAGAAGGGGTCCGGGGGGCAGCTGGGAGGTTCTGCTCAAGTGACCTCTGCTCTGCTGGAGGCAGGATTTCAGCTGGGGCTGTTTTTGCTCCTGGCTGGTCATCCGTCCATGTTTGTTCCTCTGTCTTGGGTTAAAAGTGCAGCCCACCCCCCCAATCCAGCTCTGCATTCTGCAAACCAAGTTCCAGTCTAGTTTGTGTGTCTCGGTCAACAGCATCACGTGCCGCTGATGTGGCAAGCTGCTTTTGGACCCTGAGGGGATTCTCAAGAACGCTTTTTGTCACTGAGTGGCGGCCACGAGGAACCCAAACAATTTGTTGGGGCTGCCGTGTGTGTTTTTTTAAGGGGTGCTGAGGAACCAGACGGAGAGCTGTGCCCTTCTCATCACCCTCCATTGCATTGCAAAGGAACCCACAGCTGATGAACCTCTCAGTATTGCCCCCCCTTAACAAGACTCTTGTCCGAAAGGGGTGGGGGACACACAAAACCTAAGAGGTTAAATAATAATAGTGTGTGTTTACCCTAAAGTAGTTCTTTGGAGTCTAGACCAGTGTGATTTTCTTTTTCATTCATTCTTTATACAGTCATACCCTGGGTTACAGACGCTTCGGGTTGCGCGATTTCAGGTTGCGCGCCACGCCAAACCCGGAAGTACCAGAACGGGTTACTTCTGGGTTTCAGCGCATGCGCAGAAGCGCTGGATCGCAACCCGCACATGCGCAGAGGCAGCGCTGCAGGTTGCAAACGTGCTTCCCGCATGGATCACTTTCGCGACCTGAGGGTCCACTGTACAGTGCCAGAAATGCAGGGAGGGAGGCTTTTAATTTGTCATTTAATGCAGGGAGACAACTGCAGTGGAATTCCCTCCCTTAACAGGCCAGACTAGCCCCATCACCGATGGTCTTGAGGCAGGCAGGCAGTTAAAACTGAAATATCATCTGTGTTGCAGACTACTTTAGGGGTCTTTGTTAGGATGGAAAAGTGCTATCAGAAGCAGATTACAAATTGGTGATGAGGAGGCCTCTGGGTCTCCTTTATTCTGCTATGTGGACTTAGGTTTGGCTATTGCAGAGCAGCCTTCGCCGACCTGGTGCCCTCCAGATGTTTGGGACTACAGCTCCCATCAGCCCCAGCCAGCAAGGCCATGCTCCCACCCACCTCTGCATCATACAGCTGTGCTGGAGGGGCTAATGGCAGTCATAGTCCAGAACATCTGGAGAGCCCTGAATTGGTGAAGGTGGCTATTGAGCATGGGGTGAGAGCGCACTACTGCTACCCAGATGGCTTGGGTAGGAAGACCTGTAAGAGGCGCCACAGAGGAGATCGCCTTGTTGCAGCATCAGGGAGGAGCTGAAGGCAGCCTTCCCCAGGCTTGTGGCTCTATGGGAGACAGTGCCACTGGTTTTCTCATGCCTAGGGTGAAGAGACGGACTCTTTAATCAAGGGTGTGGTGCCTGATTCATTCTTGACCCTGCCTAGTGGTGTGTGTTTGTATTCCCGAATTGCCAGCTAATCTGGTTAATACCTGAAGGAGCGTCTCCACCCCCATCGTTCTTCCCAGACACTGAGGTCCAGCTCCAAGGGCCTTCTGGCGTTTCCCTCCCTGTGAGCAAGTGAGGTTACAGGGGACCAGGCAGAGGGCCTTCTTGGTGGTGGCACCCACCCTGTGGAACGCCCTCCCTTCAGATGTCAAGGAAATAAACAATTACAGTGGTACCTCAGGTTAAGTCCTTAATTCGTTCCCGAGGTCCGTACTTAACCTGAAATTGTTCTTAACCTGAAGCAGCACTATAGCTAATGGGGCCTCCTCCTGCTGCTGCGCCGCCAGAGCACAATTTCTGTTCTCATCCTGAAGCAAAGTTCTTAACCTGAGGTAATATTTATGGGTTAGCGGAGTCTGTAACCTGAAACGTTTGTAACCCGAGGTACCACTGTATCTGACTTTTAGAAGACATCTGAAGGCAGCCCTGTTTCGGGAAGTGTTTGATGTTTGATGTTTTATTCTGTTTTTAGTGTTCTGTTGGGAGCTGCCCAGATGGGCGGGGTATAAATTATTATTATTATTATTATTAGGCATGATTCTCCAGAATGCCAAGAAACGATAAATTGTGAGGGTTAGGGTGGTGCAGAGAGGAACTAGGGTGCACAAACAGGTCATAGTTTGAATAAGGAACCTAGAAGGAGGGAGATGAGGAAATCTTTGGCCAAGGGTCCAAAAACCCAGGCACCCAGTTGCCACTGGTTACTAAAATTGGGAGTAATGCTTGAGTTTCCAGAAGTTGGCTGATCTCTCCCTACCCATCACTGACTGAATTTATGCTGGTCTGTCTAGGATCTGCTTGCTACCTTGTCCTGTTCTCAACCAGTAGCCACTTCCTAGAGAAAGGGTTTCCCAGTTAGAGCTCTGACCTCTCTTGGCTAAGCTGTGGAAGGAAGGAAGGAAGGAAGGAAGGAAGGAAGGAAGGAAGGAAGGGTGATCAGGCCCACTTGGGGCTCTGATGTCCTTCCAAACCGGTTGCCACAAAATTTGGCTGGTGCCTTCGGCTTTGCAAAAGATGCCATATTTTTCGCTCCATAAGACACACCTTTTTCTTCCTAAAAAGTAAGGGGAAATGTCTGTGCGTCTTATGGAGTGAATGCATGGTCCCTGGAGCTGAATTAAGGTACCCCACCCATTACGGGCCAGTCGTGTCCAACTCTAGGGTTGTGCGCTCATCTCACTTAAGAGGCCGGGAGCCAGCGCTGTCCGGAGACACTTCCGGGTCACGTGGCCAGCGTGACGAAGCTGCTCTGGCGAGCCAGCACCAGCGCAGCACACGGAAACGCTGTTTACCTTCCCGCTATAAAGCAGTACCTATCTACTTGCACTTAGGGGTGCTTTTGAACTGCTAGGTGGGCAGGAGCTGGGACCGAAAGACGGGAGCTCACCCCTCCGCGGGGATTCGAACCGCCGACCATACGATCGGCAAGTCCTAGGCACTGAGGTTTTACCCACAGCGCCACCCGCGTCGGAGCCGAATTGCCCAGGGGCAAAAAGCAGATCATGCTTTTTTTTTTTTGAAAGAGGGGAGTGGGTGTTGAAACAAAGCCGCTGATCGTTTGCCGATTGGGGAGAGAGATAAGGAATGCTAGAGATGAAGGAGTCTGCCTAGGAGGGGGGAGGTAAAGACAGCAAACTTGCAAAGGGGGAAAACAGGAAGACTAAAGCAATAAGGAGAGAAATTAGAAGAAAAGGGAGCAAAAAACTGCTCTAGCTAAGGAAAAGACACTAAGGCAAACAAGAGGAAAGGGAGTGTTGAAAGGAAACAGCTGATCGGTGGGATCGGAAGAGAGATAAGGGACGCTAGGGGAGGCTGCCTGGGAGGGGGGGGAGGTAAAAGCCCATGGATCCTCAGGATTTTTACATTGGGTCACCCCAAATTCACCATCAGATCACATAGCATGCCCATGGCTACAGCCTGCAACAACAAAAAAATCACACATCCACCGTTTCCTGGGGCTGCAATGGTGCAAAAAATGTGGTTACAAAGCACGGATCTACATGGATCCTCAGGATTTTTGCATTGGGTCACCCCAAATTCACCATCAGATCACATGTCTGTGGCCACAGCATGAACCGCAAAAATCATACAACCATTGTTTTGTTCAGAATATTTTTTTTCTTGTTTTACTCTAAAACTAGGTGCGTCTTATGGTCAGGTGCGTCTTATGGAGCAAAAATATGGTGCCCTCCTCTCTCCCTGCATTGGGTTTCCCCCACAATCTCCAGATAAAGACCAAATCCTGCACTTGAGCATCGAGAAGGACACTTCTCTTAACCTGCCCCCTTCCATCCCACAGAATTACTGCGACGGCGTCCAGCGTCGGAGCTGCTGGGATTCCTGCGGGTGGCGTCCTCACCCTCGCCATCATCTTGGAAGCTGTCGGGCTGCCCACCAACGACATCTCCCTCATCCTGGCAGTGGACTGGCTTGTGTAAGTACCGCGGTGGCAAAGTTTCAGGGAGAGGCTCAGCGACCAGGAGCGACCGGCGATTTCCCTGACTGATGTTCATAGGGTTGGCAGGCTGGCTACTCCCAACTTCCCCATCAAAAGACAGGATCTTTTCCCCTCCCACCACCTTGCTAGTTCCCCTTCAGGTCCTCTTCCTCTTGTGTTGGCCTCATTCTGCAAGCTTAGAGGAGGGACTTTTGCAGCAAGTGGCTCAAGGAAAAGGCCCCAGGTTCACATAGGAAAGCAGAAACCATTGCCTTGAAAGGAGGTGGTAGGTAACCAGTTGAATCTTCTGCAAATCCTCCAAGGACAATTTTTTGGGGTGGGGCGTTTGGCTGGACAAAGCTGCCTTGGACCAAGGCCACATTTGCACCATACACTGTTAAAAGATGCCAAATCATGCCCATTCCGCATTTATAAGAATTCGATCTTTTAGCATGGCAACACCTAAACTTGAACTCGCTGCCTGTTGACATCACCCGTGCTCCCACACTCTTCTCTTTTTGTCACCTTCCGAATTTTGTTTCATTGATCAGACAAGGCTACCCAGATGCATAGAACGTTGATGTGCGTTTTGATCTGTGTTTAGTTTATTGCTGATTTTAATTCTTAAATAGTTTATTCAACTGTTTTTGCTGTTAATTTTACTGTTTCCTTCTTCTTGTAAACCACTTTGAAGTTTTTTTTAAAAAATTACAAGCAAGCTGTGTATAGGTCTTATGAAATAATAAAAATCAATACATTTAAAGGGTGATGATTCCGCTTTAAACAACGGCTTTGCCTATAAAATCCTGGGAGCTGTAGTTTATTCAGGGTTCAGAGAGCTGTTAGGAGACACCCTTCACAGCTACAATTCCCAAAGTTGCCTGCAAAGAAGGACTGATTGTTAAACTACTCTGGGAATTGTAGTTCTGGGAGGGGAACAGAGTCTCCTGGCAACACTCTGTACAAACCAAAGCTCCCAGAATTCTTCAGGGGAAGCCATTCCTGTTTAAAAGTGGTATCATTGCGCTTTCAGTGGATGGTGCAGATGTGGCCAGAGTCCGGCCGTTGGTCTGTCCAGCCCTGTAATCAGAGTGGAAGTAGCAGCTCTCCAAAGATTCAAGCAGGGGTCTTTTCCAGTTTCGCTGCTTGATGACGTCCTTTCAAGCACAGGTGCAGTGTTGAATGGGGAACCTTCTGACTCCGAGCCATTTTCCTTGCATTTATTTATTTTTAACCCAGTCCCTCTGGGGAGGAATTAAGCAGGCCTCTCCTCCAACTCTCCTCCAATATGTCCCCGGGCTGCTCATTTCCCCGCTGAGCGGTGCGTTTTGTTCGTGGCGGCCAGGGGGTGTATTTGTCCAACTGACTTGTCCAGTATGGCTGGCTGGGCCAGGTGTGCTGAGGGTCCCCGGGGGGCCTCAGAGGAAAGGTTAAAAGCAGCTGCGCATTCAGCTCTTCCTCCAGTCGCTTGGGGAAATCTGCACATGGCGCAAGAATACAGGAAGGGCCCGGCTGGATCTGGCCCAAAGGTCTTGGCTGGTTCAGCAGCCGCATGCCTCTGCGTGTTCTTAAGCGGGGCACAAAGGTCTCAGCCTTTCCCTCACTGCGAGAAGCCAAGTTACAGGGAACCAGGCAGAGGGCCTTCTTGGTAGTGGCGCCCTGCCTGTGGAACGCCCTCCCACCAGATGTCAAAGAGAACAACAACTACCAGACAGGCAGCCCTGTTTAGGGAAGCTTTTAATGTTTGACGTATTACAGTATTTTAATATTTTTTTGGAAGCCGCCCAGAGTGGCTGGGGAAGCCCAGCCAGATGGGCGGGGTATAAACAATGGTGTAGTGGTTAAGAGCGGTAGTCTCGTAATCTGGGGAACCGGGTTCGATTCCCTGCTCCTCCACATGCAGCTGCTGGGTGACCTTGGGCCAGTCACACTTCTCTGAAGTCTCTCAGCCCCACTCACCTCACAGAGTGTTTGTTGTGGGGCAGGAAGGGAAAGGAGAAGGTTAGCCGCTTTGAGACTCCTTAAGGGAGTGAAAGGCGGGATATCAAATCCAAACTCTTCTATTATTATTTTATTATTATTATTATTATTCCCTGCTGTTTGTCTGGTTCTCAGAGATAGATTGCTCCTGAACATGGAGGCTCTGTGTCCAGTGAATGTTGCTAACAACCCTTGTCGCTTAACCCTGAGCACCTCAGTCATTACCTCTTTCATTTGCACCAGGGATCGCACCTGCACCGTCCTAAACGTGGAAGGCGATGCTTTTGGCGCTGGGCTCCTGCAGGTGTACACTGAAAGGACGGAAGGCAAGGCAGAGGCAGAGGAGCTGATGGAGATCAAGACGGACGCCGGCAAGGAAGTGGGGGCGGAAGAAGGCTCCCCACTGATCAAGAGGGACGGGCCTGCCCCCTTGGAGGGCATCAACTCCTGCGAAAAAGAATCCGTGATGTAAAGCAGCCTACGAAGAGGCTAGACTTCGTTTTTTATAAAGTTAGGGTTCCATTTTTAAGGACAGCTCCCGAATCTGCTCCACCTCTGAAAGACTTCTGTTTCCCATAAGAAGCAAGGGCAGGCGGTTTGGTGATGGGGAACTTCTTCGATTTTCACCCAGCACACTCCTTTCCACCTTTTTTTAATGACTGATTTTTCACACAGTGCTTTGAAAATTTCAAACAGGACTTTCCCCCCCTGAAAAATGTCGCGTTGGGGGGCTTGATGCTGCCTGGAAATAGCTCTGCTTGGCTGGAAGCCTCTCCCTCTTTAAGGAGATGAGGGTGGGGTGTGCTGTTGCTCAGGAGAAAGGGCACTCTGTATATTCTCAGAGGCACAATACTTTGCACGTTCCAGGCTGAACCCTTAAGTTTTTAACTCTGCAACGTGGAAACTGGTAGCAGTGACTCTGGAGGTCTCTTAATATCACTCTTTTCCTTCTTCCAGATCTCTAGCTACCTTTGCTGCTTTATTTTATTTTATTTTATTTTGTGTTTTGGACCAAGCAAGGGGGGTGGGTGTTGTCCTTTCCGTGTCTAGTATCTTTTGACTCCCTCCCATTGTCGTCACCCCCCCTTTTTAGTTACATTTCATTGCAGGAAGAGGAAGCAGTCTGCTTTATTTCCGGACAGATTTATTCTCCCCTGGCCCACCCCACAATTCAATAACTTGAGCAGTGAACCGCTTGAATACCTATCGTCAAACAGGAATTGGGGGGGGGGGAGAGAGAATTTTTTTCTGCCTTTTACAATTTCTTCGCTGCCTTTCTGCCTTTTACAATTTCTCTGCGAATCCTAATGCCAAAGCTGTGCGATGTGCAATTGAACACTGAGAGTCACCGCTGGGTCGCTGGGATTTCTGCCATTCCCCGCAAAGCCAACTTTCCTTGAAGTGCTTAAAACCTACGTATTTTCCTCCCTTCTTCCCTGCTTGGGTCATCAAGTGCAAAAACTAGACAGTGCTCCAGTGCTCTCTTGAAGTGGCAACTCCTGGTTCCAACAGCTGCGATGCAATTTAATTTATTTCTGGAACTTGAAAGGATCCGAATGGTGTTTTTTCTCTCCACGATGGAATTAAAGGGGCAGGGCAGCGTTAGGAGGTCAAAGAGAGTGAGCGAGACTGGAGTAGCTTCAGAGGTGAGAGATAACCTCTGGGGCTCAGTTTCCCCTCACCTTTATTCCAGTCTTGTGCCGAACAGCCGCTGCTGTGCAAGTGGGCAGGCTTTGCAGGAGCTGGTGAGTGGTGGCCCCCCGGACCAAATTTTCAGCGCTGCCTGGCCTGTTCAAAGCCCAGCAGACGCTGAAGCAGACATTAGCAGTGAGGAAGAAAGGGAGGAAGTACCACCGGCGATGGGACAGAGTAGGAAAAGTGGTGGAATCTTTGGATAGGTGTGCGTGCAGGAGGTGAACCTCCAGGGCCCTTCTGCCTTCCTTGCAGTGGCTGACAAAGGCCTGGCAGCACCCCCACAGAGAACTGCAGGGCCTTAACTTAAAGCAAATATATGCATATGCACACACAGGGTCACTTGGAAACTGTGGCTGGGCCTGCAGCCTTGTCCTTGTCTCACACGCAGGATTAGACTTTGACCAATGGAATCTTTTGTACCTTTTCAAGTGTCTCTGCAATATTGAGGACTGGGAACTTAGCTGAGAATCATTTGATTCTCCCATACGGCCTCGGTCCAGTATACCTGAAGGAGCGTCTCCACCTCCATCGTTCTGTCTCACAATGCACTGGAAGCAGATATTCTGGTCATGCTCCTTTAAGATCTTCCTGCTGCTGGAATGTTACTTGATGGATGCGCGAGAGAAAGGGCTGCCTAGTCCCCTTCTTTAGTTACTCTTCTAAAGCATATAAGAAGTTAGGGAGAGCCATCTGTTGGCAAAATTGATCAATCTGTTGTTAACTGCCCTGTGATCTTTGGATGAAGAGCAGTATACAAATTTAAATAAGAATAATAATCTCTGGCGGGTTTATGCTCTTCCATCTAGCAACTTTCTCCTTCAGAAGTTCTTGTGGTTGTGCAAAGGAGACTTAAGGAAGTGGTGAACAGGGCTGTGTGCACCCTGCAGAGAAACGCAGTTCTGCACAGCGGAAAATGCTGGACTGGTAGACGATGTGTGAATTAAATGTACCATATTTTCGCTTTATAAGACACAGCAGACCATAAGATGCACCTAGTTTTTGGAGGAGGAAAACAAGAAAAAAAATATTCTGAATCTCAGAAGGCCAGAACAGCAAGAGGGAACACTGCGCAGCGAAAGCAGCAATCCCTATTGCTGTTCTGGCTTCTGGGATAGCTGCGCAGCCTGCATTCGCTCCGTAAGACGCACACACATTTCCCCTTACTTTTTAGGAGGGGAAAAGTGAGTCTTATAGAGCAATAAACACGCTATTTACTTTGTGAACATCATAATAATGTTGCAAGGACGGCACAAGTAGGTATTTTCACCTCTGACTGCTGAAAGTTGTAGATTCTGAAATACTTATACAGTGGTACCTCGGGTTACATACGCTTCAGGTTACAGACTCCGCTAACCCAGAAATAGTACCTCGGATTAAGAACTTTGCTTCAGGATGAGAACAGAAATTGTGCAGGGGTGGTGCGGCGGCAGCGGGAGGCAGCCATTAGCTATAGTGGTGCTTCAGGTTAAGAACAGTTTCAGGTTAAGAACGGACCTCCGGAACGAATTAAGTTCTTAACCCGAGGTACCACTGTATAACCAATAAGAGTTAGGAACTTCCTTTTTCTCCAAAATAAAAGCTACTCTTTTGTGACTGGTTCACCACCTGCATGCAATAGCACATAATGTCCAAATATGTGCAAAGTTCTCCTGGTGAGAATTCTGGAGTTCTCCCTTCGTGCCAACAGAGCTCCCCACCTGTTTGGGCAGGAATGGTGTTTTAAGTGTTCTCTGAGTGGGCGGAGATCGCTGGCATTAAACGGGAGCTCTCTAGATTGCACCTCCGCACGGGTTTGTGCCAAGGCTTCCCCTGCCAAAGCAACTTTTATGATAATGCCTGTTGAGATCAGATCGCCAGATGAGGGGTGGAAACATCTGCCTTCACTTTTGGGGGCACAGGCTGTACTACATCAAAGCCCGGAGCCTGCAAGTTTCAGGGTTTGAACTTTTGGTTCTAGCAAGTCCAGGTGTGACTTAACGGGGAGAGAAAAGTGTGGGACTCTGGGATGGCGGAAAGAAGCAGAGACTTCTGGAAGAGCTGCGTGTTCTATCCCTCATTGCTGCAACGATACAATTCAAAGCGGAGAAGTGGTTAAGGTTCACAGCCCTTAGGGGTGGGGCTCCAGGGTCTTCCTCCTTTCCGTGGCTAGCAAAGCCAAAATGAAATTGTGCACAGACTGCAAAATAAATTGTACAAAACATGAAACGGCGCCAGTTTTATCCGTGATTTATATATAGGATGTGGTTTTCCTTGGTACATGATTTTTTACTTTTAGCGCAGAACGCATGCATTCCCTGCCGTTGGGTAATCATAGGAGGCCGGCTCCTGTACCCCTTGTTCCACATTCCACTTTGGGTAAACCTTCAAATGCCAGTGACTGGTATCCAGCTGGCACTTCAAAATAAACATGGGTTTTGTTTTAGTGCCAAATATACCACCCTCTGTATTCTGACAGGAGGTGGCAGTTCCTAATACAGTGGTACCTCGCAAGACGAATGCCTTGGAAGACGAAAAACTCGCAAGACGAAAGAGTTTTTCGTTTTTTGAGTTGCTTCGCAAGACGAATTTCCCTATGGGCTTGCTTCGCAAGACGAAAACGTCTTGCAAGTTTGTTTCCTTTTTCTTAAAACCGCTTGAAGAGCTGCAGTTGCGACTTGACCATGCTTCGCAAGACGAAAAAACTCGCAAAACGAATTAATTTCGTCTTGCGAGGCACCACTGTACAAGCTGTGTTGAGAGCCAATGCAGGTGGATTGTTCCAAGTGGGAAGCTATAGGTGCAACCTCCTGTTGCTTGAAAGTACCCTCCGTTGCTGAACGCCGTTCAGAATTGCCCTCAACCCACAAAGAGGCAAAGTGCGGACGACCATTGGGGCTAAGCCCCCATCTGCAAAGGGGTTTGGGTGCACATGACAGCTTCGGTGATCCTGAGCCACAAAATTTGGGAAGGGAGCCTACGGGGTTATCTGGTCTTGCTGCTTGCACAGAGAGAGGATCGTCTGCTTGCTAAGTCTTCTCAGCTGCTCAGTGAAAACAGGAGATGGGCACAGCCTCCCTCTGTCATTCCTTCTGCTTATGCTGTTGTTGCAGTTCTCCCGCCCTCAGTCCCGATCCTGTACGGAAGAGAGCCTGGCCTGGGGGCTGCCTATACCACTGTTATTGGGTGGTGCACTTGCCTTAGCTTCTGTTTCACAGTCAACAGGGGTGCAGAATGGCACCATCTCTGTATGTTGGGGGCGTATTTGATGCCTGGGTTAAGAGCTGACTTCCCTAGGAAGCAGCTAGGAAGCAGGTGAGCCAGGTGGGCTGTTGGGCCAACTGGCATTTTTCTCCGATGTTGAACCTGCTGGGCTTTGGCGGGGGCAGAGGGGGTGGCGGTGGGCTTGCATTTCTTCAAACCACACCCTGCTCTTCTGTCCTTAGTAACAGCCTGATCTGCAGGGAACTACTTCTTTCCGTGCTTTTAAAGCTGCACCTGCAGATCAAGCTGCTCTTAAAAAGATGCAGGCAAGGAATGTCGTGTTTCTGGTGAGCTAGCGACCCCCCAAAGTGGTGGCGAGACTGATTTTTGGGGGTGGGGGGGGTGATAAATCAGGTTGGTGGTTATTTGCACACAATCTCCTTCCTGCATTTTGGGGTGGGGTGGGGGGAGGAAATGTGCAATTGCCACATCACACAAGATAATAAAAAGAGATTTGGAAGCAATGCGTGCCGGTTTGTTTTCTTCATTAATGTTAAATCGTTTTTGCGGCGCTTCCCCCGCGGAAGGCGATTACGTTATCACTTTTAACGCTTGCGGCTCCCGATGTAGTGTGTGGCGCAGCAGTTGCCAGCAGGTTGCCTGCAGCTTCCCAGGTTTCCACAGGCCTCTGCTGATGAAATTAGGTTTCAAAGCAGCATTGTCTGTAGTCAATAGAATCTTCGGCGGTGTGTAAGAATAGTGTCCGCAATAGTTTTTTCTGCCCATTAGTTCAAAAGCAACCCCTGCCAGTGATGCTGTCCACTGCAAGCAACGGCTTATAAATTACTAAAAATGAGAATTGTTCCAACAATTTTTTTGTCTTATTATTACAGGAACTTACATGATAAATAAATAACAGACTCTGGGAAATTTATAAGCCATTGCCTGCACGGTTGTCCTCTTCCTCCCCCCCCCCAAACTCTTATTTGCAGTTCCTGAGTTTAGTGGAAGTGATGCTACCCTAAGGTAGCCTTCCTACCTTAGGAAGAAGGAAACATGGGAACCTGCCTTACACCTGGTCTATTTGTTCATCTAACTCAGCACAGTACTTTAATGGGCAGTGGGACGCGGGTGGCACTGTGGTCTAAACCACTGGGCCTCTTGGGCTTGCCAATCAGAAGGTCGGCGGTTCGAATCCCCACGACGGGATGAGCTCTCTTACTCTCTCACAGCTCCTGTCAACCTAGCAATTCAAAAGCCCACCAGTGCAAGTAGATAAATAGGTTCCGCTGTGGCGGGAAGGTAAACAATGTTTCCATGCGCTCTGGTTTC